GGAGGGAAGGACGGAGGGAGAGAGATGGAGGGGAGGAAGGGAGAGAGGGAGAGAGAGGGAGGGCAGGAGACAGGGAGGGAGGACAGGAGGGAGAGATAGGGAGAGAGGATATTTGAGCCCTCCCCTCCCCCTCTCTCCCTTGGCCCTGATATAAGGACCCCGTCTCTCCTTCCTCTCCCTAGCTTCTGTCTCCTCTCTGGCTGCCCCTATATTTGAGTTACCCTCCCTTTCTTCTCCCTAACCCCTGTATCCTCCCTCCCTAGGCTCGTAACGTTGAGTTTCCCTCCCTTTGATGTACAGTACAGCACCTTGTATTTAGAAAAGGTGTCCCACTCCCTCCCCCACTCTCCCCCCCACTCTCCCCACTCCCACACCCCACCCCTCCCCATACTGGCGTCCAAGGCCTATAGGAGACGTGCCGTTAAAAGTACATCTATCGTCTCTCTCTCTCTCTCTCTCTCTCTCTCTCATAATATGTAGATAGAGAGAGAGAGGAATTAAAAATATATAAAAATAAATAGGGAGAGAAAGAGGAAGAGAGAATAATAAAGAAAGAAAGAGAGAGAATAATAAAGTATTTCCGATACCAATGTCCATCAGTCTAATTGTTATGTCGATTCTGGTTGGTCGTTTGAATGTCGACTCTCCTATTGGCGTGTGAAATAGACCTTTAAATATACCTGGTGTCGATTAGATGGATTAAGGGGCTTTCGGGGTATCTATTGAGAGGTTTTGGGATTAAATAGGGTTTATCTGTCTGTCTGTCTGTCTGTCTCATATGTTTTAATGCCACGTTTGGTTAGGTTAGGTTTGGTTTGGTTAGGTTAGATCAGGTTAGATTAGATTAGGTTAGATCAGGTCAGGTTAGGTTAGAGTCCAGTAGGTCAGGTTAGGTTAGACTCTATTTAACTTGCAACATTTCCTTTGGCCTCTTACACCTGTTTGACCTGAGCCAGCGACCCTTTGATAACGTTTGGTAAAAGAGACCCTGAAACACACTCGTTCTTCTCTCCTTTCTCTCAACACACTCGTTCTTCTCTCCTTTCTCTCAACACACTCGTTCTTCTCTCCTTTCTCTCAACACACTCGTTCTTCTCTCCATTCTCTCAACACACTCGTTCTTCTCTCCGTTCTCTCAACACACTCGTTCTTCTCTCCTTTCTCTCAACACACTCGTTCTTCAATCCTTTCTCTCAACACACTCGTTCTTCTCTCCTTTCTCTCAACACACTCGTTCTTCTCTCCATTCTCTCAACACACTCGTTCTTCTCTCCGTTCTCTCAACACACTCGTTCTTCTCTCCTTTCTTTCAACACACTCGTTCTTCTCTCCGTTCTCTCAACACACTCGTTCTTCTCTCCTTTCTATGTTTTGCCTCAATAACATTAACTGGCAACTCTCTGTGATGTTTAGCAAACGGTGAGAAGGAGGCATTTGTTGTTGTTGTTGTTGTTGTTGTTGTTGGTGGTGGTGGTGGTGTTGTTGTTGTTGTTGTTGTTGTTGTTGTTGGTTGGTGGTGTTGTTGTTGTTGTTGGTGTTGTTGTTGTTATCAGTATCATTACCATTATTACTATCACAGGTAATACGACTACTATTATTATCATTTATCATTATTATTATTATTATTATTATTATTATTATTATTATTATTATTATTTCGTACATAATATAAAACATAAACAAACACAAAATATTCATACAAAATATACAAAAGGAGCTCAGCCAATAGGATAACGGAATACCCCAGGTCAGGATGGCTATTGGTGGAGCCCGAGTGACCATCTAATACTCGTAAAATATGATTGGATGGCTGTTCTGCTCATGGTCTCGGGTGGGTGAGTGTGTTGTGCAAGTGCAACCAGATGTAGGTAGTGTTAGTGTGATTATTATTATTTATAGTGTAAAATAGTCATGTATCTGTCTGTCTGTCTGTCTGTCTGTCTATACTATCTTTGTAATGGTTAATCTCTCTCTCTCTCTCTCTCTCTCTCTCTCTCTCTCTCTCTCTCTCTGCATCATGACACACTCCAATACTTTTCGTACCTTGAGTTGAAGTTATTAATTAAATGTATCATCGAGTTGCTCCTTTCAACACCTGGTTCCCCTACGACTCAGGCGCCTTATGTCGAGGAGGTCCAATGAGATAATTTTACGGTGTTATAGAATTCACTGGATTGCTTTTATAGGGAGAATTATATTATATTTATGGTAGTGAGTTTAGTGGACTGAGAGAGAGAGAGAGAGAGAGAGAGAGAGTAGTCGTATATTTGTAGATGAGAAGACTAATCTCTCTCTCTCTCTCTCTCTCTCTCTCACTTACTAGAGAAATTAAGAGGTAAAGTCACAACATTAAGCTGGGCAATATTGACCCTTGAGCAAATCCTCGACTTGGGATAAGTCCTTGGTGGATCCCTCCCCCCTCCCTCCCCCTCTCCCTACCCAGGTGGCGAATCCAGGGGGCGGAGGAGGGGAAGGGGAGGGGGGGGAGGAGGGGAAGGGGAGGGGGGAGGAGGGGTGGGGAAGGGGAGGAGGGGGTGATATGGAGGGTAAGGATCTCAGAAAGGGTAGGAATTATAACCATGTGAGAAAGACTTTAATCAAACTCTCCACCTTCACACACACATACATACACACACACACACACACACACACACACACTGGATGATGGCGAAAGATGTAGAGACTAAGATTGAATGTTGTGGATGTGGTCGAAAGAAAGGTGGATGATGTAAGCGTGGTAGGAGGATGAGAGAAGAGAGACGATATGGATGTTGGAGGGTGAGGAGGATGAAGAGGCGTGAGGGATGAGAATTGATGAGGATGAGGGTGTGTGTGGGGGGTGGGTGCCTCTCTCTCTCTCTCTCTCCCTCCCTCCCTCCCTCCCTCCTCCTCCTCCCCTCCCTCCCTCCCTCCCTCCCTCCCTCTCTCTCTCTCTCTCTCTCCACATCATCTACAGCCTAAAAAAAGCTGTTCAATTCCACGTAAGGAAAGTTCTGCTTGAATATACAGCAGGGCAGAAGGTTGGCAGTTACACCACACTTGAGAGTTGTTGCTGATATGGCAGGCTTACACACACACACACACACACACACACACCACACACACACACACACACACACACACACACCACACACACACACACGCACACGCACACTCTGGCTTGGTATGGTCGCAGGGTTCGTAAGAGCAGTTATGCCGCTACATCTGTACCAATAACTTCTACAACAGGTAAGTTTAGGATTGATACAGTTACTCGCTGGCTTCCTGAAACCTCCCTCCTGAACTCTTAACTTTCCTTTACTGTGTGTGTGTGTGTGTGTGTGTGTGTGTGTGTGTGTGTCCCTTGTTAAGTTACTACTGCCTTTAAGTAGTGATGTGATAAGGAAAAGTTTAATGGTAGTTGTGATAGTGATAATGATACACTATTACTACTACTACTACTACTACTAACTAATAATAATAATAATAAATTACAAACTCTTCACTCTCTCTCCAATTCCCTATCTTTATTTTCCTCTTCCACCCCTCTCCCTTCTATCTACCCCCCCCCCCTCACCACCTCACCTTTCCTTTCACCCCTCCTCCCCTCCACCCACCTCTTCTTTGACCCCCTCTTCCCTCTTTCCCTTCCCCTCACCTCTTACCCTGCTCTCCCATCTTTCTCCCCTTCCCACCCCCCTTTCTCCCCCTCCCCTTCCTCCCCCTCCCCCCACCCCCCCAACACATCCCAGGCAGTGGAGGTAGGACGCGGTAGATCGTGAACGGAGCTAAATATCATACCAGTTAATCCAAACATTTTTTAAGGAGGGCGGAGGGGGGGCAGGAGGGGGGGAGGGGGGGCTGGAGTTGAGAGTATTAAATGCCAGAGGTAAGGACGAGTTCAAGGCCTACCTATGAAGGGTAAATTCTGGCGTTATTGGCGGTATTTTTCACCTATGATGATAAATGCTGATGGTATTTTACACTTATGCTGGGTAAATATTGGTGATGATTAGTCGGTAAATACCAGGGGTAAGTCGGTGATAAGTCGGTAAATAGAAGGAATAAGTCGGTGATAAGTCGGTAAATAGAAGGAATAAGTTTGATAAGTCGGGAAATACAAGGGATTAAGTCGGTAAATACAAGTCGGTGAATAATGCTACACACACACACACACACACACACACACACACACACACACACACACACTTGCTCTCCCCTGATTATAAAATGAATAAGCCTTACACACACACACACACACACACACACACACACACACACACACACACTTGCCTCCCCGGATTATAAAATGAATAGCCTTTGCCACTACACACACACACACACACACACACTTGCCTCTCCCCGATTATAAATGAATAGCCTCACACACACACACACACACACACACACACTTGCTCTCCCCTGATCATAAAATGAATAGCCTTACACACACACACACACACACACACACACACACTTGCCTCTCCCCGGATTATAAAATGAATAGCCTTACACACACACACACACACACACACACACACACACACACACACACACACACACACACACACACACACACCACTAGACGCTCTTGGTACACATTGTAAGGATCTATGAATACCTGGTGGGTCATTAGTGGTCGACTGGCTGAACTTAGTCAATTTACGCCTGACATGACAGCCTAGGGTGGAGTCAGGTGGAGTCAGCAGAGAGTCAGATCGTAGGTAGAGTTAGCAGAGTCACATTTTAGGTAGAGTCAGCCAATATTCATATCGGAGGTAGAGTCAGCAGAGTCACATTTTAGGTAGAGTCGGGTATAGTCAGCAGAGAGTCAGATCATAGGTAGAGTCAGCATAGTCAGCAGAAAGTCAGTTCCCAGGTAGAATCAGTAGAGTCAGATCGTAGTTAAAGTCACCAGAGAGTCAGATCCTATATATAGAGTCAGCAGAGAACCAAATCCCAGAGTCACAGTGCAATTTCGACGCCATCTTGGACCAGAATCAACATACCGTAACTTAATTAATGAGGCAATTTAATAATACACTTTGTTTACTTACGAATCACTGAAGATCCTTGTTCTGTGTGCCAAGGAAAAGGTGAATTAACGACACGTGTTTTTAAAGGTCCCTGGGGTTGAGAGGTGGGAAAGGAAGTGTAAATATTGGTTTTTTATGTGTTATTTTAAAAGGTGTTTGTTGTGGGAGGTCATAAGGACAGGTGTGTATTAATTGTAATTTTTTGACTTACCTGTTTATTGTAGGTAGGTGGGAGATTTGAAGGGAGATGAGGGGAGGGTACCTGGGGAGGGGACCTGGGGAGGGGACCTGGGGGGAGAGGGGAGAAAACGCACCAGCTACCCTCGTTTCCATCTCACCTGTCTACGTGTTGATCATTAGATAGATTTTCCACCTGTGGAGTCTCTCTCTCTCTCTCTCTCTCTCTCTCTCTCTCTCTCACCTGTACTACCCCCTCCACCTCAGTACCTACACCTGTGCCTTCATATATATATAGACCTCACCTGAATCTATTCCTGGCTCTGTCAATTTCCATTATCAACCTCGATACGGAACTGATGTGTGATAAGACAGGAATTTGTATATCGTGTGAGTGTATAGTTTGTCGTGAGGGTGTATGAGTGTATGACTTACTGGTGTATGCTGGAGGTGTATTGTGTCTGTTTGTATTAAGATGTGATGCATACACACACACACACACACACACACACACACACACACACAAAGGTCCATTTTAGTGTCCGTGATTGTTTTTGTTGTTGTCTATTATAAAGATTGAAAAGAATAATTAAATACATTTCATAGTTCAGACTGTAATATTTCCCTGGTGGCGTTTGATGCGTTAAATACTTATAAAATAGGTTAATAGGTTAGGTGTGTGTATCATGTCGACTCTCCTGTTATCTACAGTAAAACCTCTATATAACGGATTATATGAGGAGGAAAGTCCGTTATATGGAGGGTCCGCTAAATGTGAAACCTGTATGTAAGGGATTATATGGGGAGGAAAGTCCGTTATTTGGAGGGTTCGTTAAATGTGTAATCTCTCTTTATCGGATTATATGAAGAGAAGTCCGTTATAGAGAGGTGTGACTGTACAGTAATATACTGCCTGACGGAGACACAATAACAGCACCCACCTTGAGAGTCTCGTCGACGTAGCCCTTGACGGACCTGGCGATGAGCGGCACTCCGGCCAGGGATGCCAGGGTGCCCGAGGCGTAGATACTCTGTGTCACGCCCACCGCCACGCCCACACTCACGCCTTCGAACTTGAGGGTCTCGCAAGCACCCTTAAGAGCGTTGAGGGTGAGCGCGGGCGTCTCTACAGCGACGCCCTCCAAGCGGTAGGCGCCACCGATGAGGCGGTTCTGTTCCTGAAGTGACTGGAAGAAGATCGAAGAGAGGCTTTGGATGTGTTCCGGCTCAAAGACGGCCCCGAGGCGGTACACTGGGGTGGTAGTCTTGGGTGGTGGGGCGACGGTGGTGGTGGTGGTGGTGGTGCTGGTGGTGGTAGTGGTGTTGGGGAGTATCTCTGGGACATCTGGTTTGCCGGGGGTCCGATGTGGGTCTTCTGAAGGGCGTGTCTCATTGGCAGGAGAGGAGGAGATACTGGGGGTCGTGGTTGAGGTTTCCTTTCTCGCCGTGGGGAAGAAGAGGCGCCTGGTGGTGGTGTTGGCGTATGTGGAGACGGAGGAGGCGACGGTAGGGAAGTCACTGGTTAGGTCGACGACGGAGGTCTTGTGAGGGGGTCGTGGTGGCTTGATGGTCGGGAGGGAGGAGGTCTGGTGTGGCAGTCTTGCTCCCAAGTGCGTCGTCGCCGTCTGCGTCCTCTGAGACCCATCATCTTGGAGGTCGTCGGGGCGACTTCTTCCTCCTCCACTTCTGCCTCCGACGACAGAAGCAGCGGTATAGGACAAGAGAATAAACGTGGGAAAGAGGAGGACGAGAAGACGCCTCATGACAGCGAAGAATCCAGCTGGAAGAGGAGTGTCCAGTTCAGCATAATCTTATTCACTGGGAGGAACACTTTGGGTCGTCTCCAGGTCATTTCAGGTCATATCAAGGTAAGGAGAGGAGGAATATATTGTTGACGAGTTACCACCTGGCCGAGTAAACATCTGGCGTCTCCCTTCACCTTTAACTTACACTACTTTTCACAACACTCCGCCATATTCCCCCCCACAGCCTTTATGCCACCATTTCCAAAGTGTCCAAAGTGGCGGTATTCATCTTTTAACAAAAATTAACAAGTGAATTCTAAAGACAAATGACCGAGACTTCCAGAATATCCGACTCACTCTCACCAAACTCCATCACCTTAATGCCTGCTTATGATTAATAAAAACAATTCATTATATAACAAAAACACCTGTCCAAAATACACCCCCCTCAAAAAAAATATATATATGTACAAACACACAGACACACACGACTGTACTTTTGATCTATAGATTCTCTTCTTTTTTATTGAGGGGAAGAGAAGAGTTGAAAACAAATCGGATTTATTTGTTGGTTCTTGGTGTTTGTGTTTTTCTCTTCTTTTTGACAAATTGAAAACTGATGGGATCGATTCCTTGGCTTGGAGGGTTTATTGTTTACACTGACGAGGTGGTGGTGGTGGTAGTAGTCATGTTGTTGATGATAATGATGGGTATTGAGAGACGGAACACTGACGACTGAAGGAGGGAGGGTGGTGGGGGAATACTCCTGTAGGTGCGGATCTACTGTGACAAGGTGAGGTGCTGGAGTCTTCACTGGTCTTCACTGCTCACACGCCACACACCTGAGGAAGAAGGACACTATTAGGAAAGAAAAATATAATTAGAAATACATCTGTCACTTCTAAATACTTCCCCCTTCCCCGCCACACCCTCCCCCTTCCCTGCATTCTTCCCCCTCCCCGCCACACCCTTCCCCATCCCAATAACCCTCCCCCTTCCCTGCATTCTTCCCCCTCCCCGCCACTCTCTTCCCCTCTTTCCACACCCCCCTCCCCCCTCAACCATAATTAAATGGGCTGGAACAGGTAGAACAGGTACGCCAGGTCATATTAATTAGTGTGTAGTACCTGTGTGTATAGCGTTAACTTTGTATCCCTAGTGCATGATGTATTTAAGGCCCCCTCGACTAACACACACACATCTGTATGCAAATTACCGGTATAGTTATATCTGCAATTACATATTTCGGGATAGGGGGTTGGGAGAGAGGGAGAGGGGGAGGGAGAGAGAGAGAGAGGGGGAGAGGGAAGGAGAGAGGGAGAGAGGAGGAGAGGGGGATTTAATAAACATGACTCGCATAGCTATAATACAGTGTGTGTGTGTGTGTGTGTGTGTGTGTGTGTGTGTGTTACAATTATCATATAATATTATTACTATGTTAATATGACGATGTTATTATTCCTGTTCGTTAATTTTTTTTTTATGTTTTCCCCTCCCTTCCTTCCTCTGTCTCCCTCCTTCCTTCCCTCTTCCCTCCATCCTGACTATATTCCCTCCCTACCTATATGCCCTACATCTCTCCCTTTCTGTTCTTTAGTCTCTCCCTCTTCATCATTCTCCCCCACCTCCCATCTTTCCTTCCTCCCTCCCACCTTCGCTCCCTCTCACCCTCTCTCCTTCCCTCTCACCCTCTCACCTTCTCTCTCACCCCATACTCCCTCTCTATAGACCAGGGAAGCCCTATTTACTATGCACCGCCTCTACGTAGACTAATTAAGGATATCTCTCTCGTGTGGACTATTAACACCTACCATTTTCCCAGGGTTTAACTCCTACCATGACCTAACCTAACCTGGCGTGACCTAACCTGGCGTGACCTAACCTGGCGTGACCTAACCTAGAGTAACCTAACCTGGCGTGACCTAACCTAGAGTAACCTAACCTGGCGTGACCTAACCAAAACTAACCTCTCTCTCTCTGTTTACCCAATCGATATTCTAATAGGCACACATCTCAAATATTTACTTTGCCTTGAAAGGGGAAGGTGGTGGAGGCGACAGAAGAGGTGGCTAAGGGGAGGAGGGGGGTGGGGCAGGTGTGGGATGTGGAGGGAGGGCAAGGGGGAGGTGTGGAGGGAGGGCAAGGGAGGAGTGGGAGGAGTGGAGGGAAGGTGTATGAAGTGAAGTCTCTCTCTCTCTCTCTCTCTCTCTCTCTCTCAGTAGTATAAACAATAATACGGGAAATCCTTGTAAACAAATCATTATTACAATCCCACCTCTTCATCTCTTCCCCTCTAGTCAGCTGATGTTTGTTATTGTTATGACGTCACAAATCAGCTGATGTCAAGATAAACAAATGACGTCTTTGTGTCATGGTGTCAGTCGTATATTAACATGGCGTTTAATGGTTTATTTTCACTGAGGTTATTAAAGTGTGTGTTATTACTACCAAGGGAAAACATTACTCTTGTGTCTTGTGTATGTTTGGTCAGTGAGGGTGACTAGAAGATAAGATAAAGGAGGATAAAGAGGCTATGATCTATGGGTTAGTTTAGGTTAGGATGTGGTTGGGTTGGGTAGATTAATTTAGGCTTTGGTTAGGTTAGGTTAGGTTAACTTAGCTCTGATTAGATTAGATTAGATTTGGCCAGATTATATCAGAGAAGTTATAAATAAATAATTTTAGACATTATCATTATTAATGATTAAAGGACTTGACACACGTCTCCTCTAACAGATGGAGACTGTGACGTGTATATATGATTTCCTCCAAACATTATTTTTACTCCCAAATAAACTGTGATTGAAGTCTGTCTCACACCTGTAACTTAGATATGTGTGTGTGTGTGTGTGTGTGTGTGTGTGTGTGTGTGTGTGTGTGTGTGTGTGTGTGTGTGTGTGTGTGTGTGTGAGAGAGAGAGAGAGAGAGAGAGAGAGAGAGAGAGAGAGAGAGAGAGAGAGAGAGCCTTGTAAACAGAACTGACAGAACCACGTGTTATATCTTCACAGGAACCAGGTGCCCGATGTAAACAAAGACGAGAGACAGGTACCCGGATCCTCTTGAAACTACGATTATACGCGGTGGTCCTGAATCCCCATTGAAGAAAGTTTAGACGACTGGCTCAAAGTAAATGTGAATCTCTGGGGTGTTTTTTTTTAGGCAATTTGTTTTGTTTTTTTATTTACGGTGTGTGTTTGTGTTTTTCCGGGTTTTTGAGTATGTGTTTTTTTTGTGTGTTTTTCTCTTTTGTTTTTCCTTTCAGTGTTTCCATGTTTTTTTTGTTTTGTCTGTTGTATTTGCTTTTATTTGTGTTTTTTTTAATGTCAGTTGTTTTTCTTATGTTTTTTATCATCTATTCTAAGTGTTATTTTAATGTTATTTGGTGTTTGTTTTGTGTTTTGTTTTGTTTAAAGTGTTTTTAATGACCTCCCGTGTTTTATATATCTGTTTCGCGCGCTTTCCATTGGTATCCCGTGTATATTGTTGTATTTTCCCGTGTTTCTCGTATACTTACACCATTATTTGAGTCCCCCGTGGCCGTGTTGGCTGGTTGAACAAGATAAGAGTGACGTGTGAGGTGAGAACAGGTGGTGTGTGTGTGTACCTTGGAGAGATTTTTATATTTACTTGATGTATTAAACTGTATAATACCTGACGCGACTTACCTTAATGAGGGGATGTCTTTGTGTAGTTATTATTATTATTATTATCATTGTTGCTGTTGTCATTATTATTAATATTGGTTGCCTGAATGACTGACACACACACACACACACACACACACAATACCCTTCCTCACCTCTTCTACTTCCCCTCCCTACCCCTCCAGACTTCACACCTAGGGCTCGGAGGGGGGGGTGAGAGAGGTCGGGAGGTGGGGAAGGGGGTGAGAGAGGTCGGGAGGTGGGGGGGAGGGGGTGAGAGGAGGATGTAATGAGTTATAAAATGAGGTGTGAATTATCTACTTCCAATAATTGTTAGAAAGTTAGTGAAGAATTTAGGTCGTTAGTGCACCTTACTGCTACACCCATGACCTCACACCTTACTGCTACACCCATGACCTCACACCTTGCTGCTACACCCATGACCTCACACCTCACACGTGACTTCACTTTATTTAAGCCTGACCTGACCTGACGTGACCTGACCTAACCTAACCATATCCTCACATTTCCCCATAGTCAATTATCTTCTATTTTATCATCTATTTTACTATTACACCTTTGTCTCCTACACCATTTAGTTTTCCATCCTTGTCTATTTCCTATCATCACACTTTACCCTATCTACTATTTATCCCTTTCCTTATTATATCATCTTCCACTTTGTCTTATCCATAAAAATAAACTTGAAATGGACACTTTTTTCCCAATAGGTATTTTTTTCCCCTCGGGCAAAAAGTGAAAATTAATATTGTACGAGAAGTTTTATTTATTTATTTTTTATTTTTGGTATTGATTATAAGTTGTTTTGTTGCCCAGTTGGCTCGAGTAATTTGCATAATGACGCTGTTTACATCAAATTAATACCTCTATGTAGCTGGAATTGGCACTTTTGTTACGGTAGTTGACGCTGTTGTGAAAATGATACACAGACAGACAGACAGACAAACAGACAAACAGACAGACAGATACACACACACCACCTTTCTTATTAACTTTCATAACAACAACAATAATAATAATAATAATAATAATAATAATAATAATAATAATACAATAAAACTAAAGTAATGATAAAAATATATTATTAACAACCATTTTAAGATTAACAATAACAATAATAATAACAAAACAGAATCAGAATAACAACACTGCCAAGATAACAACAACAATAACAACAGAAGAATAACTAATCCCTCCAGCCCTGCCCTCTCCCCCACCAACCCTTACCGGCCCCTAGCCCTCCCTCCCTCACCATCACCCCCCCCTAGCCCTCACCTCCACCCCCCCTCATCCTCCGTAACCCTGCCTTCTCCCCCACCAACCCTCACCTGCCCCGAGCCCTCCCTCACCAACCCTCACCCCCACCCTAGCCCTCACCTCCCTCCCTAAAAAAAAATAAAAAAAAAAATTGGTCAATATTGTGGAAGCGAGTTGCCAACAGGTATTTTTTTTTGGGGGGGGGAGGGGGGGGCATATTGGTTGACGATGGTGTGATGAGATGAAAAATGTGCCTTCTACCATCAGCCCTTGAGAGAGAGAGACCTGGGCTGAGAGGGTGAGAGACTTGGGATGAGAGAGACCTGGGATGAGAAAAGGAATTCGTGAGAAAGAGAGATAATAATGGAAGAGAGAGGGAGATAGGGAGTGTGAGAGAGATAAGGGTGAGAGTATATGTCAGCTGGAGAGGGAGAGGTTGGCTTTAGAGCTAGATGGCTTATCTCTACCGCTCGGTTTAGGGGAGAGGCAATGATGAAGAGATAATGATGATGAGAGATAGAGAGGGTCTCCTTCCTCCACTCTCTCTCTCTTTTCCCCTTCCTCTCCTTCCCTCACTCCCCTACTACCCTCCCTCTTCCTCTCCCCCTCAATCCCCTCCCTCTCTCTCCCACCCTCCCCCACCACTCCCCTCTCTCCCCCACCACTCCCCTCTCTCTCCCTCCCTCCCCCACCACTTCCCTCTCTCTCCTCCCTCCCCCACTCACTCCCTCTCTCCTCTCCTCCCACCACTCTCTCCCTCCCTCCCCCTCCCTCTCTCCCTCCCTCCCTCCTCACTCACTCCTCCACCAATAAGAAACGAAAATCAGAATGAAAGTCAGGAAATTAATCTGTGTCCCGTATACTTCGAGTGATTATTTTTGTTTGTTTGTTTAATTCACTCCAGTTCATGACAGCCCCGA